TTTTTTCCCCATTGAATGATCTTGGCACTTTTGTCAAAAATTAGTTGGTCATGGATATATGGGTTTAGTTCTGTAGTTTCAATTCTATTACATTTACATATGTCTACCCTTCTGCCAGTACCAAAAGTTTTATGGTTTTTTCCATATTGGTCTTAACACATTTTTGTTTGGTTTATCTCTAGATCTTTTCCAATTTTGTTGCTATTATAGAAAGAAACTTTGAAAAATTATATTTTTAATCAGTTATTGCTAATAACTAGGATATCTCTCTATATATAGTTAGATTTTTTTAACAACTGATAATCTATTTACTTTTTATTTTATTTTATTTTATTTATTTGTCAGAGAGAGAGAGCACAAGCAGGAGGAGCTGCAGGCAGAGGAAGAAGCAGGCTCCCCACTGATCAGGGAGCCAGACATGGGGCTCATCCCAGGATGCTGGGATCATGACCCCAGCCGAAGGCAGCGGCTCAACCGACTGAGCCACCCAGGTGTCCTGATAATCAATTTATTTAAAAGGTTGATTTAAGCATCTGCAAGACTTCAACCTCAACTTTTGGCTCAATACTGATGGAAGTAATGTGCTTAACAATCTCAGAAGGACTGTGCAAATCAATGAGTCGCTTGTGGATCCTTATCTGAAAATGATCCCTAAGTCTTGGAACCTTCACTGCAAGGAGTTTTTCTTATATTGATTCTCAGAGTCTTGGTAGGCATCCAAACTGGTCCTTTCACTTTGCGATTCTTTACTTTTTTGCCTCTGATCAAGTAAGGCAGCACATACTTTCTCCAAAGATTTTACATTGTGGTTGGTTAGAGTAATTCTAATTTGGTGAATCACCACCTCTTGTTCCATGGGTGTCTTCCTGGTGTCCTTAAAAGCCATGGACGAGGCAAGCTTTCTGACGGACTTGTTCCTCCAAGAAAGTGAACAGTGGTGAGTCAGGAGCTGGAGGTGTGTGTCCAGAGCTCTGCTATAGGTCTGACCTCATCTTCCTTAAAGAACTATTTTTTTTGTATTTTAATCATGTATCTTGCATTAGTTATTTGGTTCTTTTTTTAAAAAATTGTGGAAAATGCACATAATATACAATTTACCATTTAAACTATGTTGAAGTGCACAATTCAGTGTCATTAAGTAAATTCACAATGTTGTTCAACCACCACCACTGTCTAGTTCCAGAAGTTTTTCATCATCCCAAACAGAAAGTGCATTTGGTAAGCCTTTTAAAGCTCAAGATTTGTATCTTTCTTCAATACTAAAAGATTTTCTTGCATTATCTCTTCGAATATTTCCTTACGTCTACACTCTTGGTTCACTCCATTTAACATTTGTATAAGATGAATATTAAAAGTTCTGGATCTATCCTCCATTCTCTTGTTTCCTTTGCCCTTTTTATCTGCTTTGGCCTGGTCTTCCAGCTTGCTGGTTAGTTGTTCAGTATTTTCTGATCTTCAAGGCAATGTAATTGATGGTTTTGTTGACGGCAATAATTCTTTTTCATTTCCAAGGGATTTCTCTCTTTCTTTTTTGGTTTCTTGAGTTTCTTTTTTAAAATAAACTTTTATTTAAAAAAAATAAATAAAATAAAATAAACTTTTATTTTTAGAATACTTCCAAATTTACAAAAACATTATGAAAATAATAGAGTTCCTCTTTATCCCACATCCAGTTATGCCTATTATTAATACCTTGTATTAGTGTGGTACATTTGTCACAATTAATGAGCTATATGGGCTAAAGTATTTTATCCAGATTTCCTTTGTTTTGTTTTTTTAAGATTTTATTTACGAGAACAAGAGAGCTCACAAGTGGAGGGAGGGGCAGAGAGTGGAGATAGGGAGAGGGAGAGAGAATCTCAAGCCGAGTCCACACTGAGAGTGGAGCCCGACATGGGACTCCATCTCATGACCCTGAAATCACAATCTCAGCTGAAACCAAGAGTCAGTCGCTTAACCAGCTGAGCCACCGAGGCACCCCAGATTTCCTTAGTTTTTATCTAGTGTCCTCTTACTGTTCCAGGATACCATTTTATATTTAATTGCCATGTCTGTTTAGAGTTTTCTTTTCTCTGACAGTTTCTAAGATTTCCTTGTTTTTGATGACCTTGACAATGCTAGGCAGTGTTACCAGGTATTTTTGTAGAATGTCCTTAATTGGGATTTGTCTCATCTTGAAATTATGATTAGATGGGGTTATGGATTTTGGGGAGTAAGACTACAGATGTTAAGTGCTGTTCTTATATCCTGTCTAGCATACTATATATGCTATCAACATGACTTTCCATTGTTGATGTTAATTAATCTTGATCATCTGGCTGAGATAGTTTTTGTCAGGTTTGTCCACTGAAAAGTTATTATTTTTCCCCCTTTTCCATATTGTACTTTTGGGAAGAAGTCACTGTGCACAGCCTATAATTAAGAGGAAGAGACTTAGGGCACCTGGGTGGCTCAGTCAGTTAAGCATCTGACTCTTGGTTTTGGCTCAAGTCATGATCTCAGGGTTGTGGGATGAAGCCCCGTGTTGGGCTCTGTGCTCAGCCAGGAGTCTGCTCCAGATTCTCTCTCTCCCTCACCCCTCCTCCCCTTTCTCTCTCTCTTTCAAATAAATAAGGGGTGCCTGGGTGGCTCAGTTGTTAAGCATCTGCCTTCAGCTCAGGTCATGATCCCAGGGTCCTGGGATCAAGCCCCATGTGGGGCTTCCTGCTCAGCAGGGAGTCTGCTTCTCCCTCTACCACTCCCCCTGCTTGTGTTCCCTTTCTCACTGTCTCTCTCTCTGTGTCAAATAAATAAATAAAAATCTTTTAAAAATATATAACAAAAATAAAATAAATCTTAAAAAAAAAAAAAAGAAGAAGAGTTATTATGCTCTACCTCCTGGAAGGCAGAGTATCTACCTAAATTATTTGGAATACTTCTGCCCAGGAGATTTGTCTGTTTTCCCCCCATTTATTTGCATATATCAGTAAAGACTTAGGGATATTTATTTTATACTTGGTTTAGAATCCAATACTATTTTATTACATTGCTCAAATTGTTCCACCTTTGGCTGTTAAGAGCTCTTTCAGTTAGCTGCTGTGTGCCTTTGCCATACCCCAATCATTGTAGTGTTTATCTGTCTGTCTGTTTGTTTTCGAGCACTTCTTTACTTTCTGGCACTACAAGATACTCTAGCCTCATTTAGTATTTCCTTCTCCAGTCCTAGAATCAGTCATTTCTCCAACAGTGTGTCCTGATTTTTAAAAATTGGAGAATGATACTAGAAATCAAGATCTGAGCACTAGGTGTCCAAGATCTCTTAATTGTATTTTTAAATAACATTCATAACATTCTTTTTATTTCTTCTGACTTCTCTGCTCTGAGGATATTAATTACAATTCTTTTGGAGACTCCTTGCATTTATTAATGGTATTTCCTTGGGTAATATTAATTATTGTATTTGTTGGATTTAGTCATGGAGGTAGTTTTCTTTAAATATTTAGTGATACTTTTATGTGTACTTATATTTGCATTTGGGAATCCCTGTTTGCTTTTCTGTAGCTGGAGTTTCTATTTTCTGTACATTGCTGCCAGTGATTATGGAGGAGGCATAAGGTGTACAGACAGTGAAGTCTGTCAGCAATTCATTTTCTCTTTGTGTGGAGGCATTACCCTGCCTCTCTAGCCCAAACCCTCTTGTCTCAGTGTGGGGTGAACACCTCTGATGCCTAATGTTTAGCTCAAATGGGGATGAAGGTACACAAATGATCAATCATTCCTCTGCTACCCACATGTACATCCTTTAAACTTGGGGTGCCTCAAAGCTGCTCCCAAATTTCATAGTGATCTTCTCCTGTATTTTTTTAGTCCTATAGTTTCCTCAATCATCTAATTCTACCTTCCTTGCATTTTTCAGAGACCTTCAAAATTTCTGACTACTGAAGACCCCTTTCATGATTGCCAGTTTTCTTATGTTTATGTTAACACCACACACACACACACCCTTTTTTGTCATTTATAGAGATTTTGATAGGTAGGGAATATAAGTGCCTGTTCTCACTCCACTATCTTGGTCTAATATCTCAATACTGCATTTTTAAAATGAAAACCTGAAAGAGACTGGAAATATGAGAGTGGAAAGAAATATATTTAAATATATATGTGTGGTAGAGTCTCTTCACTGCCTACTCAGCAGACATTTCCTCACCTTTTTGTCTGCCAACTGAGCCTCAATTTTGCAGCAGATAGAAATCACTTGATGTCAGGAACTTATTCTAAACCCTGGCATGAAGGAATAAATTATAATTAGTCAAAACTATTCATAATAATCCCTTTTTCTGGGCGCCTGGGTGGCTCAGTCGTTAAGCGTCTGCCTTTGGCTCAGGTCGTGATCCCAGGGTCCTGGGATCGAGCCCCGCATCGGGCTCCCCGCTCAGCAGGAAGCCTGCTTCTCCCTCTCCCACTCCCCCTGCTTGTGTTCCTGTTCTCGCTATCTCTCTCTCTGTCAAATAAATAAAATCTTTAAAAATAAAAAATCCCTTTTTCCTTGACCAGTTATTGGTCTAGGGATACACATGCAACTTAATAAGGCCAATGAAATGTAAAGGAAAATTTTGGAGCAGGGAGTCTGGGACATTCTCTTCTTATATAATAAAGTAGAACCACAAGAAGAGAAAACCCATTTGTTCTCAATTCTCTTTTCCTGGAAGGAAGTGATGCTGGGAGCTGCAATAGCTACCTTATAATCCTCAGGTACAAGCACAAAAAATGAATAAAGAACAATAGAAACAGGCTAGGTACTTAATGAAAAACAGTGAGCTGCTGAATGACTTCTGATTAAGTCAACAATCAATGTCCTTAGGGTGAAAGTCACTGTTATCTGATTTTCTGTTACTTTCAGCTGTGTTTGAATACACCATGTAAATGGATATAAAAAACTTTTTTTCTAATAATATTCTAAAGTAACATAGATTAAAATCTACTTCTAATATTTCTTACATTGCACTTTTTTTCCTCCTCAGAAATACACCTGGAAGAGCAGACAAAAACCTCAATTTGTTCAATAAAGGACTCTAACACTAGAGTCTCAAAGACTTTGGTGGTTAGAAAACCTGCAAAAGTGATTTTCAATTTAGATCCAACTGCACTGAACTCAAAGCTAGAACAGCCATGGAAGAAAAATTTTTTCGAAAGATTGGAAGCAAGAGCCCAGGCAATGCAGCAGAAAATAATAGATAAGGACAATCTGAAGAAAGAACTAGAAAAAAAGGCTGAAAAAAAACTCTCTAGGGATAATTTGGCCAAAGAGTGGTTTAATGCTGAAAACATGACACTGAACACTCGTGCATATTTGCTTGACAAACTTCTGCCTACCTTAGTTCCTGGAGTGGAAAAAATGTTAATGCAAGTGGAAAAGAAGAAGCTTCGGGCAGAGGTTGATAATACAACCAAGTTTAACCCAATTAATCATTTGGGGGAATACTTAATGAGAAACAATCCTTATTATATCAAAGACTCAGGAATGTCTGGTTATCAAAGGGTGATGAGGGATGTCACAGAAGCCCTGAAGATACATGTTCCCGACACTACTGGCAACAGGTACAATTTTTTATATTTTGAATTGATGATCTAGGTCCTTATATTGAAAGCAAGTAGAACAATGACATAATCATACAAACAGGACTTCAATAATTTTGTAATTATTCAGAAAGTATTTATTGAGCTGCTAGTATGTGTTTCACTATTTAAAAGGCACTATGAAGGGCGCCTGGGTGGCTCAGTTGGTTGGGCGACTGCCCTCGGCTCAGGTCATGATCCTGGAGTCCTGGGATCGAGGCCCGCATCGGGCTCCCTGCGCAGCGAGGAGTCTGCTTCTCCCTCTGACCCTCCTCCCTCTCATGCTCTCTGTCTCTCTCATTCTCTCTGTCTCAAATAAATAAATAAAATCTTTAAAAAAATAAAAATAAAATAAATAAAATAAAAGGCACTATGAAGATTAATGAAGCATATTAAACAAGGTCCTTGAATTCATGGATTTAGTTATCTCACTATGATCCAAAGTGTATATTTATTCACTTATTATCTGTCTCCCTGCACTGGAAAGTAAGCTATATAAGAGTAGAGACTTTCTGAAAATTTAACTTTTCAGATAGGCAATATATTCACTTGGTTCAAAAGTCAAAACGTATAAGGAGTTATACAATGAAAAGTTCCTCTCCCATTCTTATCCTTCATCTACCCAGTACTCCACCTCTGCCATAAACAATGACTGTTCTTCATTTTCAGTGAATTTTTCCAGTTTCTTTATACATACAGAAGCAAATGCAAATATAGATTCTAAATTTTCTTATTTTTATATATAAGACCATCTGACTGAGTTACAAATATTTTCTTCTGTTTTTTACTTGCTATTTATATCTTGTCATGCAGAAGATACTTTATTTCTATGTGGTTGAATTTATTTACTTTCATTTTATGACTTCTGGATTTCAAGCCATTGTTATTTTCAGGTAGTAAAAGAATCCTCCCATGTTTTTTTTCTGAAATTTTTATTATTTTAATTCCCATTTTAAGTATTGATCCATTTGGAATTTATCCTAGCGTAAGATATAAAATACGAATCCAACTTTTTCCTTTTCAAAAATGTCTATATGGTGATCCCAACGACAGTTGTCAAATAGTCTATTTTGCCCCACTGCTTGAAACCTTATTACTAAATTCCTATATATTTTGGAGTGTATTTCTGCATTTTTCTTTCCTATCCCATTGATTATCTCCCTGTTCATGCACCACACTGTGCTGCTTTAGTCACTGAGACTTTTTTTAAATTATGTTATGTTAATCACCATACATTACATCATTAGTTTTTGATGTAGTGTTCCATGATTCATTGTTTGTGCATAACACCCAGTGCTCCATGCAGAGCGTGGCCTCTTTAATACCCATCACCAGGCTAACCCATCCTCCCACCCCCCTCCCCTCTAGAACCCTCAGTTTGTTTCTCAGAGTCCATCGTCTCTCATGGTTCATCTCCCCCTCCGATTTCCCCCCCTTCATCCACTTACTGATTTTTTGACTTTATGTTGGTGTGGAAGTGGTATGTGTTCAGTAGAAATCATACTTTGAATTTTGAATTTTGATCTTTTCCTGGACTAGCAATATGCAGTATGATGCTCTCCTGTGATGCTGGGCAGTGGCAATGAACCACAGCTCCCAGTCAGCCACACAGTCATGAAGGTAAATAACCCATACCCTTAAAACGATTCTGTACACATATAACCATTCTGTTTTTCACTTTCAGTAGTTTTCAGTCAGTTACATGAGATAGTCTACACTTTATAAATAGGTGTTTGTTAGATGATTTTGCTCAACTGTAAACTAACTTAAGTGTTCTGAACACATTTAAAGTGGGCTCGACAGAACTATGATGTTGGGTAGGTTGGGTGTATTAAATTCTTTTTCTACTTAGGATATTTTCAATTTATGATGGGTTTATTGGAGCGTACCCCTATCATAAGTTGAGGAAAATCTGTATTTCAATAATTCTGACTGTGCTGGTCCTCACTATTTACTCTTTTATTCTGGTGTTTTTACTTCTTTTTTTTTTTTAAGATTTTATTTATTTACTTGAGAGAGAGAACATGCATACAGAGGGAGAGGGTGAAGCAGACTCCCCGCTGAGCAGGAAGTCCTACAGGGGACTTGATTCCAGGACCCCAGGATCATGACCTGAGCTGAAGGCAGACGCTTAACCAACTAAGCCACCCAGGAGCCCCGTGTTTTTGCTTTTTAATATGAACTTTAGGATTGATTCATCTACTTGAAAAATAAAGGAGAACAACAAAACAAACCTTGTAGGAATTTTTATTGAACTCCGTTTAAATTTATTTTTTAACTTAGGGAAAATCAACATCTTTAATGACAAGTGTTTCTATCTGAGAACACATGTCTTTCCATTTATTCCTCTTATTTTGTATCGATCATTGTTGTCGTAAAGTTTTTTTCATTTAAGCTTGCATCTCTTGTTAGGTGTATTACTAGGTATTTTATTATTTTTTTATTGCCATTGTAAATGGGACTTTCTTCTTTCATTACATTTTCTATCTATATGTAGTTTGAATACATGAAAGCTATTAATTTCTGTAAATTTTTGTACTCTGCTACCTTACTGAGTTCCATCATTAATAGAAAAAGTTTATTTTTTATTTTTATTAAAAGATTTATTTATTTATTTGAGAGAGAAAGAGAGAGAGCATGCATATGAATGGGGAGGGGCAGAAGGAAGCAGATTCCTCACTGAGTGTGGTGCCCAACATGGGGCTTGATCCACAACCGTGAGATCATGACCTGAGCCAAAACCAAGAGTTGGATGCTTAACCAACTGAGCCACCAAGGTGCCCCTGTTTATAGAAAAATTTTAGTTGATTATTTAGATTTTCTAGCAAGGAAACCTTATTATCTGCAAGTAATAGGAGTTTTCCTTATTCATTTTCAATTTTAATGCTTGCAATATCTTCCTCTTACCTAGTTACATTGGCTGGCTATTCCAATAGAATGTTAAATAATTGTGATGATATGGACATCCCTGTCTTGTTTATGACTTTAGTAGGGATGATTTCTTGTATTATTGCCTCATCATGAGCAGTTTTTAAAAACTATATATTAATACCATAACTCTACTTTATTTGGATCTGAAAAATATATATTTTATTACATTAGAAAAAATGTGCTGGATGCCTGGGTGGCTCAGTTAGTTAAGTGTCTGACTCTTGATTTTGGCTCGAGTCATGATCTCAGGGTCCTGAGATCAAGCCTGGCCTTGGGCTCCACGCTGGGCGTGGAGCCTGCTTAAGATTCTCTCTGTCCCTCCCACAACTCTAAAAAAAAAAAAAAAAGAAAGAAAGAAAAGAAAAGAAAAATGTGCCTAATTTCTATATTGTAGAATGATTTTTTAAGTTTATTTTATTTTATTTTATTATTTCATCGTGGTAAATGTATTCTTTAATCCTCTTCCCCTATTTCCCCCACCCACACACCTACCTCCTCTCTGGTAACCATTAGTTTGTTCTCTATAGTTAAGAGTCTGTTTCTTGGTTTGTCTCTCTCTCTTTTTTCCTTTGCTCGTTTGTTTTGTTTCTTAAATTCCACATATGAGTGAGATCATATGGTATTTGTCTTTCTCTGACTTATTTTGCTTAGCATTATACTCTCTTGCTCTATCCATGTCATTGCAAATAGCAAGATTGCATTCCTTTTTATGGCTGAAGAATATTCCATTGTATATACACCATGTATTCTTTTTTTTTTTTAAAGATTTTATTTATTTATTTGACAGAGAGAGACACAGCAAGAGAGGGAACACAAGCAGGGGGAGCGGGAGAGGGAGAAGCAGGCTTCCCACTGAGCAGGGAGCCCGATGCGGGGCTCAATCCCAGAACCCTGGGATTGATCCAAAGGCAGATGCTTAATGACTAAGCCACCCAGGCACCCCTATACCACATATTCTTTATCCATTCATCTATCGATGGACACTTGGGCTGCTTCCATAGTTTGGCTATTTTAAATAATGCTGCTATAAACATTGGGGTACATGCATCCCTTTGAATTAGTGTTTTTGTATTCTTTGGGTAAATATCCAGTAGCGTGATTGCTGGATCATAGGGTAGTTCTATTTTTAACTTTTTGAGGACCCTCCGTACTGTTTTCCTCAGTTGCTGCTCCAGTTTACATTCCCACCAATGGTGCACAAGGGTTCCCCTTTCTCCACATCCTGCCAACACCTGTTGTTTCTTGTATTGTTGATTTTAGCCGTTCTGACGGGTGTGAGGTGATATCTCATTGTAGTTTTGATTCGCATTTCCCTGATGATGGTGATGTTGAGCATCTTTTCATGTGTCTGTTGGCCATCTGGATGTCTTCTTTGGAGAAATGTCTGTTCATGTCTTCTGCCCATTTTGTAATTGAAATATTTGGGTTTGGGGTATTGAGTTGTATCACTTCTTTATGTAGTTTGGATACTAACCCTTTATTGGGTATGTCATTTGCAAATATCTTCTTCCATTCCGTAGGTTGCCTTTTAGATATGTTGATCATTTCCTTCGCTGTGCAGAAGCTTTTTATTTTGATGTAGTTCCAATAGTGTATTTTTTTTCTTTTGTTTTCCTTGCTTCAGGAGACATATCTAGAAAGAAGCTGCTACAGCAAATGTCAGAGAAGTTACTGCCTGTGCTCTCTTCTAAGATTTTTATGGTTTCAGGTCTCACATTTAGGTCTTTCATCCATTTTGAGTTTGTTTTTGTGCATGGTGTAGGAACTTAGTTCAGTTTCATTCTTTTGCATGTTGCTGTCCAGGTTTCCCAACACCATTTGTTGAAGAGATAGTCCTTTTCCCATTGGATATTCTTTAACTCTTCTTTAAATGTTCGGTAGAATTCACCCTTGAAGCCATCTTGAATATATATTCAATGTATTTTAATCCATTATAATTACTTTCTTTTTGATCCTCAACTTGACCCAACTTTGGCTCCTGTGTTCTTCCAACCTTACTCCTTTAGTCTTTGAAAACTTTGTATATTTTTTAAAAAGGATTCTTAGTTCCT